AGCCACAGGTGCTGAGCCTATTTCTTTTTTTTTCTGGTTGCAGCCATCATTGTTGTTTGGTGGGCCTGGGCTGGATTCGAACCCACCACCTTATACACCTTAGGTGTATATGGCTGGCGCCTTAACCACTTGAGCCACAGGCACCGAGCCACATGCATGTCTCGACCCCCCCCCAACATGCACTAACTTCCTAGATTCACTCCTGTCATCTGCGATGCCTGTAACACTCCAACACCCCATAGAGTGGGTGCTCCGAAAAATTTTGCGGAACATATTCCAGTGGTGTAGTGGCAAGTGGGTTTGTGCTTGTTGACCCCATGGCTATAATCTTGCAGTCTCACAGGAGAAAAGGCTCTGGCATCCCTGCTGGCCCCTGCCCTATGCTTGGCTGTTCAGTCTAGAGAGCCTGGATCTTGTCCACAAAGCACTTACCGGGCAGCCTTCAGGGAAGTTGTCGGGGGTGCAGCGCAGGAAGTCAGGCCAGCCTCGCTCCCTCTCCACGATGGCACAGGGGCCTCGGGTGGCCTGGCACAGGGTGCGGCTGGGCAGTTCTACCCGGTCATTCTCACACTTGGGCATGTACACGGCACACAGCAAGGGCTGAATCACTGCCCAGCAGCGGGGGGCATTCCGGAGGCCTGGAGGGTGGCGACAGTGTGGACATATTGAAATGAAGAACCTCCTCTGACCCACAAACACAGCTACACCCCAGGCCTTTGCCACACAGCACACACCTGTCAGGCAGTGGTTCTCAACAGTGCACCTGGCCGGGTAGTACACATCTTGAGGCTAGAGGACTAGTCCATGCATTCCAGGGCAGGTAGCATCCCTAGTCCCACTAACTAAATGCCAGTGGAACCCTTAAGTCTTTGTGACAAAAAGAAGTGCCCCCCACCTCCAGCCCAGGGCAGTGACTACAAGAGGGCCTGAAGAGGAACTTTTGGGAATGTTCTATTTCTTGATCTAGTACTAGTTATATGCACGTATTCACTTTGTGAAAACGAAGCTTATCATCTGTGTACTATTCTTAGGTATGACTATAATTCAATTACATTTTTAAAAAAATATTTGCCATTTCCAAATGCCCACCTAGGGAGTGGTAGTAGTGCCTCTGGCTGAGAACCCTGGCCATCCCTGGCCTTTTCAGGGATGTTTCTAAAATCTCGTACGGGCTTCCTTCAGGGGAAAGGGGGGTTGTGGGACCCATCGCTCACAGGGCCCACTCACCAGAACCAGGACATAGTTCCCCTTGCCCAGACCCCAGAATCACTGTTCCTCTTACCAAGCTGAAGTGAGAGAGAGAAGAGGTGGGGGCTTAGGGAGAGGTGGTCAGAGGAGCCAGGTACTCCAAAGCCAGAGGAGGAAGCAGGAGATCAGATGGAGAGAAACAGAGGAGGCTCTGTCCAGAGGAGAGGGAGGAAAGGTGGTGTCAGCAGACAGAAGCAGGCAGAGGTCTCCCAACACCCCTGCCCCAGCTCAAGCCCCTATGCTGCTCATCCCAGTAGCTGGACTCACTCTGCATTTTTAGCCCCTCCTGAATCATCCCTGTTTCAGGAACATCTATTTCCCAAGCAAAAAGCTGCATTAGGAGAAACTTCTGAGGATGTGAGAGCCAACATGAGTGACTGTCCCATTGCCAGGCTGGGGAGGGTTGAGGCAGGTACAGCTCTTTTTTGGGATGGAAGGTAATTTAGTGGAGGGTAAGAAGCATGGGCACTGTAATTAGCTGGCCTGGGTCTAAATCTTGGTGCCACCATTTACTGGCCATGTGATTTTGAACAAAATACTTAATTTCTAGCCTCAGTCTCCTCATCTGTAAAATGGGGATGATAGGTTTACCTTGTGAAATTGTTGTGAAGAGTGACATAACTCTTAAATGTGTTGGGGCCAGTACCTGTTGTGTAGCAAGCATGTTAGCTGTTATTACTACCTGTTTGAGGCTTCTGACTTGCTCACAGCTCTCAGATCCTATTCCAGGGCACAGGCCAAGTTCCTGCCAGTTCAGAAGCAATATCCTCAGGCAACAATAGTACTTGATTCAAATCAGAATCACCCAGATAAAGTACCCAGTCTCAGCAATACTGAGTGGGTGGTTGCCGGGGGCTGAGGTGAGGGGAAGGTTTGCCTGTATAGCTGTAGCACGAGAGATTCTATGAGGTAATGGGACTGTTCTCTATCTTGAATGTGGTGGTTATAGAACTCCATGTATTTGTCTAAACTCAGAGCTAAGAAAGTGAATTGCACTGGGTATTTACTATAAAATTACACTTTCAGTGATGGTGGGACGCTCTCTGCAGTAAAATGCATTTTAGGGGAGCATCAGGCAATTAATTAAAAATGTGTTATTTTTCTTGATTAGGTGATATTTGTGACTACCAGCTTTTAAAAATGTGTAATTTGTTGTTTTTCTTTTTTTTTCTCATTTTCAATACTGCTTCATACTTTTTTTTTTTTTTTTGAGACAGAGCCTCAAGCTGTCCCCCTGGGCAGAGTGCCGTGGCATTACAGCTCACAGCAACCTCCAACTCCTGGGCTCAAGCGAGTCTCCTGCCTCCGCCTCCCAAGTAGCTGGGACCACAGGCGCCCGCCACAACGCCTGGCTATTTTTTTTTTGGTTGCAGCCGTCATTGTTGTTTGGTGGGTCCGGGCTGGGGATTCGAACTCACCACCTTAGGTGTATGTGGCTGGCGCCCTAGCCGGTTGAGCTATAGGCGCCGAGCCGTACTGCTTCATACTTTAAACTCCCCAGGGAAAAGGCAGATTATTAAATAAATCTTAAAGGACAACTGAGGAGCCATGTGGGGAAAAAATACCTCACCTCACCAAAGTAAATTCTAGAGGGACCAAAAATAACTACATTATTTTTCTAAAAATTAAAGTATAAGACAAAAAAGGGGGGGGGCAGGTGTGGTGGTTCCTACGGGTAATCCTAGCACTCTGGGAGGCTGAGGCAAGTGGACTGCTTGAACTCAGGAGTTCAGGACCAGCCTGAGCCCAGAGCAAGACCCAGTCTCTAAAAACTAGGCAAGTGTTGTGGCGGGTGCCTGTAGTCCCAGCTACTTGGGAGGCTGAGGCAAGAGGATCACTGGAGCCCAAGAATTTGAGGTTGCTGGGAGCTATGAGGGCAACAAAATGAAACAAAACAAAACAAAAAAAAAAAAAGAAAGGAAAAAAGAGTACACGACAAAATGAGGGATAGCTTTTTATTTATTTATTTTTTTGAGACAGAGTCTCACTTTGTCACCCTCAGTAGAGTGCTGTGACATCATAGCTCACAGCAATCTCAAATTCTTGGGCTCAAACGATTCTCTTGCCTCAGCCTTCCAAGTAGCTGAGACTACAAGCAACCGCCACAGTGCCTGGCTATTTTTAGAGACGGTGTCTTACTCTTGCTCAGGCTGGTCTTGAACCTGTGAGCTCAGGCAATCCACCCATCTTGGCCTCTCAGAGTGCTAGGATTATAGGCATGAGCTACCATGCTCAGCCTCAAGAAATGGTTTTTCAAATCTTTGAGTGGAGAAGGCCTTTTGAAGCATGACACAAAACCTAGGGGCCATGAAATAAAAAGATCTAAAGAAAGGCTTCAGAGAAATAGATAAATTCAGTAAGGTGAAAAACAAAATCCTAAGAAAGGCAAGTCACTGAGAAAATCTATTTTCAATACATGTCATAGGTAAATAGCAAATTTCCTTACATTCATAAAGCTCTTATAAATCAGTAAGAATTACATAACCCTATAGAAATATGGGCAAAAAATGACAGATTACACAAAGAAGATGATGAGAAGCCTTTATAAACATAAAGAGATGTTTAGCCTCACTCTTTTTTTTTTTTCTGAGACAGAGCCTCAAGCTGCCACCCTGGGTAGAGTGCTGTGGCATCACAGCTCACAGCAACCTCCAACTCCTGGGCTCAAGCGATTCTCTTGCCTCCACCTCCCAATGAGCTGGGACTACAGGTGCCTACCACAATACCCGGCTAATTTTTGGTTGCAGCCATCATTGTTGTTTGGCAGACTGGGGCTGGATTTGAACCCGCCAGCTCAGGTGTATGTGGCTGGCACCTTAGCCACTTGAGCCACAGACACCAAGCCACTTTTTTTTTTTTAAAGACAGAGTTTCACTTTGTCACCCTTGGTAGAGTACCATGACATCATAGCTTACAGCAACCTCCAGCTCTTGGGCTTAGGCGATTCTCTTGCCTCAGCCTCCCAAGTAGCTGGGAGTACAGGTGCCTACCACAATGCCCAGCTATTTTTTGTTGCAGTTTGGTCAGGGCTGGGTTTGAACCCACTACCCTTGGTATATGGGGCCAGCACCTGACTCACTGAGCCATAGATGCCTCCCTGTTTTATCACTTTTTTAAGTGATAAGGAGAAAAACATCTGAAAATACTGTATTATAAAAAGTACGGGAGGAAACTGGTACTTTTTTATATATTCCTGGTAGGAATAAAAATCAGTAATACTTGTGGAGACTATTTGGCATTATCTATCAAAATTTTATACTAGCAATTCCACTTCACATGTTCCCAAAGATAATACAGAAGATTATTCATTGCAGCAATATCTGTAATGCCAGAGGAGTAAAACAACCTGAATTCATATCTACCAACAGGAGACTAGCTAAACAGAATAAAATACATCAATATAATAGGACACCATTCAGGGTTGAACTACAATCATGCATTGCTTGAAGACAGGGATAGGAGCTGAGAAATGAATTGCCAGGCAGTTTTGTTGTTGTGTGAACATCATGAAGTATACTCACACAAACCTAGATGGTATAGCCTGCCACACACCTAGGCTGTAGGGTGTAGCCTATCCTTTTGGGCTACAAACCTCTGCAGGGTATTACTGTACTAAATACTGCAGAAAACTGTATCATAGTGGTAAATGTTTCGTGTATCTAAACAGAGAAAAGCTACAGTAAAAATAAACTACTATAATCTTAGAGCACTATCATTATATATGTGGTCTGTTAACTGAAACGTTGTTACGTGTCACAGGACTGGATAAGCATTGAAATGGAATGATGTCCAACATGTGTTGTTAAATGGACAAGGTTGAGTGGAAAATAGTCTATAGAGGACTTTACTGGTTGGGGGTGGAGGAGAGACTGAGAACACATCTCCATCTGGACAGATGTCAGGTATCTCTAAAAGGACACACAAAATCACAGTGATGATTATCTCTAGGGAGAGAAATGGACAGCAGGAAGCAAAAGTAGGATTTAACTTTTGTTCTTTTTGAATTTTGTACCATGTACATATACTACCTATTTTTTAAAAGTAATTAAGCTTAAAAACAAAATAAAGAAGTATACAAATGACGAGGATAGGGAAGCTCCCCAGAGAAGAAGAGGGGGGAATGAAACTGAAAAGAGGAAGAATGGGGACATCAACATAATCTATATTAATTTATTTCTTTTATTTTAATACCAAAAAAAAAGAAAAAAGAGATATTTTAACAATATCAGTCTCTTCACTTTTCTGTGTTCACAGACTTTGTTTTTTGAGACAGAGTCTCACTTTGTCACCCTCGGTAAAGTGCCGTGGTGTCACAGCTCACAGCAACCTCAAACTCTTGGGCACAAGCGATTCTCTTGCCTCAGCCTCCCGAGTAGATGGAACTACAGGC